ATGCACAGTAGTATCTGCTGAAATGTCCGCGCGGGACCCTTCCACTTCCGGCGACATATAGTCCTCTACCTCAGTACAAAGACTGACCTTCGATCCTCGAGTGTCGATAATCTGTGCCGCTTTGAGCACAAGAAGCCTTGCTTGTTCCACTTCACACCGTGACATAGCTATCTGCTTTCTTATCGAATCGAAATCCTTGAGATATTTTTGGAAAGCAATGCGATTTGACGTCTGAAAAATAGGCCTTTTCAAAGAATTTTATCAAATGTAAGGTGGAAGACCTGACCCTTTCCTTCATGATATCTATAGCTCGCTCGGCATGTCCAATCAAGCGCATAGCGTGGTGGATTCTTCCAGGGCCTAATCTTCCCTGAGCAATTTCGAAACCCCGTCCTTCGCCTAAGATGATGTTTTCTATCGGAATGCGAACATTCGTGAACAGGATTTCACAATGACCCGCTGAAATTAGCTAATTTTGAAGAGTCCCCAAAATGGCAGTGATTTTTGAAAACCCTGCTGTACCTGGTGCATCATCACTACCCAGAACGGTTAGGTTTCTGATTATTTCCACACCGTTCTGATCCATGGGAATGAGAACCATTGAATGGCGCTGAAGTCTGGAGGCCTGAATCGAAGTCTTTTCCCTCTTTTCCAAAAACTCCCAAAAATGAGAAGAATAAAAACAAAAAATTTACCTTTCCACCAGCTACTTGACCCATAAATATGCAAAATTTACACAAAGGATGGGCAGCATTACTCGTGTACCATTTTCTCGCGTTTACGATATACTCATCTCCATCACGAACTATAGAACCCTGAATTGCAAGTTTTGTTGTCAGTATTTTCTACGAAATTTCTTACCCTAATATTAGTAGCATCGCTACTGGCAACGTCTGGTTCGGTCATTGCAAAGCAGCTCTTGATTTCTCCATTCAATAGCGGCATTAGCCATTTTTCCTTTTGCTCTGAACTTCCATATTTGATCAAGACCTCCATGTTACCGGTGTCTGGGGCTTGGCAATTGAATACCTGTATAAAAGAAGCGATTTCTCACTCATATTAAAGTCTTGCTTTCATAAAATGTATAAACGATTCACACTGTAATCTTATGGGGTCAAGTAACTTGTTCTCCGAATCTAATAGATACATAAGTTTTGCAGCAAAAAACATAAAGAATTTGTCTTCAAAATCCTTAAATATTTTTTCAAGGCACGTAAATTACTGTTGTGGAACATAGAGTATCTTATTATAGACACAGAGATTTTCTCGGCTGGAAAGCAAAATGTTGAACAAGAAATTTCGAAAATTGTTACTATTCCTAGTAACCTCCTAAAGTACGAACTTTTTCAGATAGGAAAACCATGTTGTGAAATCGAAAGCAAAAGTAAAACGAAATTTGGTGTAAATCTCAGAAAACCACTTTTTGAGTTCTTTTCTCTACTAGCTTGTGACCAACGGTAATATATTCTCCTTTGGGTTCTTTGTAGAGTGCATTATCTGACGTATGTAAGCGTAGGATTAAATAAATTATTTAATTTGGGAAAGTTTATGAATTTTCCAAATTATTGGTGCAAAATATAACGATAACGATAACAGACAATCTAAAAGTTTTACTTTATAAACTCAGAACAGCGTTTTGTAATTTTGTCCACATAATTATCTGTTATTGATGGACTATTATCTTAGCCAATTCAAGAATTCCCAACTGTGAATAAAATTTATGGATTG